TTTTAATTTCTTTTTTCAAAGAAAAACTGCTGTTTTTCTTTTTTTTTTCGTTCTTGTTTAAAGTTTCCATTTTTTTTTTTATCAGATTTTTTTTCCTGTACTTCATCATCTGGCAAAAGTAGTTTTTTAAAAGCTCATTTTGGAAATGTTTAACCATTTTAAGGCTGAATTAACCATTTTAAGTTTGTGATCTAAGGAAAGCTTATTTAGATAATAATATATGTGTAGATAAGGTTTGACTTCATACATAGCCAGCTCTCTGGGAACAGCTCATAGTAAGTTTGATGGTAATATATAGTGATATTTTAGAAATTAAGTTCAGATTATAATATAATCATTAAACTGATTATGAAATATTTGTCTTTAAGTTGGTCATGTTTTCCCTGTTCCTTGAGGTATGTGCCTTTTTTTACTTGAGTAATTCATCTTTTTTATCTTAATGTTTTCCCTTATAAATTAGGAATTAATAGGAACATGTGGCTCTCATAGTTTTTTTAATGTTTTATTGAGGTGCTTAATATGATTTATTAAAGAATAAGGTCACCCAGATCAGTGGCAATTTGCAATTAGTGGGGAAGTTTTGGTGTACAGTTTTTTACATTGTTTCTCATCCACTTTTTTAGCTCCTTGTGCTCTTACCTGTGACATTGTTATGCAAAATGGAAGGGAAACAGGCAAAGGGGAAAAGCTGAGTCCAGAGAGAAAGGACAAGGACAAAATAGCACACTCAGCCCCTCCCACCCTCTGTGCAGGGTACTGCTCCATGTTTTTACTTGCCTCATGTCCCACCCTTGACTTTTCAGACTCCTCATATAGTTGGGGTTTGAATTTTGAATAAAGTTTTTATTTTTAATCAATTGGGGATTGGCAGTGTAGATGGTTTGGGACCCTATAGTAGAACTGGAGCTTTGACTTGATTTTTTAAGAATTCTCCAAAGAATACATTTTTAAAGCATAGGGGAATACTTGTCTTTTTACTATATAAAGCTAAAGGCTTTCACTTATTTTCAGTTAGATCTAAGAACACATTTGAACATTGCTGCTCCCTAATTTTGCTTTATGGAAATCTTTTGCTTGTTTTTCCTTTTGGATCTTGGAGGTTAGATTTTCTCAACTTACTTTTTTTCTGTATTATGTAGTATCTTTAGAAATTCTGTATGTTTACGATTTCAAAACAAAATCAATGTACTTTAAACATTTGAATTGTTAAAAAGCTATTGTATGGCCCAGCAGAGAATTTGGAACAGGTGCCAACATACTTGCTTCTGCCTGGCTTCTTGTCTTATGTTAGAACTTGTTAGCATGAATGAACAAAATGAAAAGTTGCAATATTTTTGATAAAAATAACACTTTAAAAAGAATTTTTGTTCCTGGCAGTGTAAAACTTGGCACCTAGCAAATAAGAGGACTCACAGATATATAAAGACACTGTCAGCCCCTCTGGAACTACTGAATTCCTCCTTCATAGTAATTCTCCCAATGTCTGCAATCCAGTTCATTAATTTTTATTTTGTCCTCTTGGAACTTGTCCATAAAAGTTTTTTTTTTTCCTTTCTTTTTTAACCTGATCATCAGGTCTTTTGGCTGCTCTGGTTGTGTAGTTTGAGTTTAGGGGTTTTTTTTGTGTATTGTTGGATTCTTGTCCAGAAAGTACTATAAGATGTTGGGAGTGGGGGTCGTTTTCCTTGGGAAATTTATCTCACTGCTCTGTCTCTGCTTGTTTGACAGCTGTTCCTTCACTTCTAACTTTATTACTAATTCAAAGAGTTATAAAGCCATGTGTGAGCAGCTGTTCACTGTTTCATTAGGACAAAATAGAAAGGACCCAACTATTATCAGGAGTGATTTAGGTTAGGTTGTAGAAATAATTTGCTGGCAGTTATGATATAGTAACTTAGTAAAAAAAGAGAGTTGTAGAATTTTTTTAAAAGAGCATAAAATAGTATTTGTTGAAAGATGAGAGAAGTTGAAAGATGAAATACTGACTAAAGATGGGATAGTGAACCAACTAGTTTTGAATTCCTGTTCTAGTTCTAGGATTTTATGATTTCATGCTGGAGTTTATTCTCTTACAGACTAACTTTTCCCATGACTTTCTGTGTTTAAGACTCTTTGTGCAATTTTAAGCTTTTTAAGCTGATTTGTATTTATTTTTGAGTTGATATTTTAGCTATAGAAAAACTTCATTTATTTAGCACCCAGGTGCTGAATTAAAATTTAAAACTTGTTTGCTTTTAGTTAAAGAAATGTAATAATCAGACAAAGGGAAAAAGAATAGAAAAATTTGGTAATTAAATATTGCTCATGGAACTACAAAGGAGATGGCTTAGTCCTTATCTTTTGTCACTAGTCCTTCAGAATATAATTATTATAATCATGTTTCAGACCTTTAATAATACCTAGCATGTGTTAAATAGGTACTGTGTGCCTGGCTAAAAGTGCAGCTAATTTAATAGATAGTGTACTGTTTAATTCTCATAATAATCCTGGGAATTGTATGAATATGAAAAATGTATGAATATAAAATTGTGAATACATCATGATGTCATTGAAAACACATACACCCATGCGTTCGCGCACATGTATCTGAAAGGTTGTAAGTATTAACAATGGTTACTTTTAGGTGGTAGGAAAACAGATAATTCTTCTATTGTCCTTTATAATTTCTTATATGCTGTATTATTATATATCAATTATCTTTATAATCATATGAGATGGGAATTACTACTATTATTTTCACATTCTGACACGTTGGCCATGTCTTACATATGTGCAACAATTTCCAAATCGCTATCCTCACCATCTCACATATTTAGGAACTGTAAAACCATTTTAAATACTTTTTAGAAGTTTTTGTATTAATTTGTGGAAAGATATTTTATGTTTTTAGACAAAGTCTGTGTCTTTTAGGCTACTTTTCATATTTCTCTCTAGATTACAAAATTTTGAGACTATTATCCTTGTGCCTTTACTGTTCCTAAGACAAGCCCAGCACATAGAAGATATTTTTCTTAAAGTTTATTTAATTTATTTTACTCGTAAATTCCACCTGCAGTGCAATAATTGAAAACAAATTCCTTAATTTCCAAACATTTTTTTGTTTTTGTCTTTTAATGTAACTCTATTATACACTTGCCCAAAGTCTGAGTCCTGGTTGTTACCCTTGATTCCATATGCTTTTTCACTACCTCTCCAAATCTAATTAATTGTTGAAATGGATGAAGTGTTCGGGATAATAAACTGGCATTGTGTATGAAGAGACCTTAAAAATGCCCATGCCCTTTAATCCAATAATTCTTACTTTATGAAATAAATGCCAGGAAAGCAATTTAGAAAAAAAATTATATAATCTCAGGATTATGGTTGGTAATACAGCGTTCTCCTGGTTCTGTGGACAAAAAACCATAACATGCAAATTCATTTGGGAAAAGTAATCTTTTTGTGATATTAACAAAAAACCCCACAAAAAAACAACAACCTTCTGTTTTCTTAGATTTGTAGATTGTTTTCTGACTTTCCTTCTTCTTCATTTCCTCTTGCCTCTTAAATGCAGGTGGTGCCCAATACCCACATCTCTCTTCTCATGGTTGGCAATTTTAATGGATCTCATGGATTCTTTTGTTTGTATGTAGAGATTTCTGAAATCTGACATTCTAGGCCAATCCTCTTTACAGTGCTCCATTTGTGATGCTTACATTCAAAATATTCAGTTTTCATCTTTTGAATATCATTTAACTGTGAAAAAAATCTATCTTGTTTATTTTTCCTCCTGAAGATCATTTTTCTGTGGTCCATATTCTATCAACCTGTCTTGACATCTTTTCTTTTCAATTCTCCCTCTTTCTTATTCCACCCTCAGAACCCTCCACCGTAGACCTGCATTGTCTTTCTGGTGTATCTTCATTATCTACAGGTGGTCACCTTAGTTTAAGCTGCTTTTTTTTGTTTTTAAGGATGTTTGTGGTTGGTCTGTAATTAGTCTCCTGCACACTGTATCCTCAAATGACTTTTGTCAGAGAATCTTCCTGATGCACAGATCAGACCACATCACTTTGTAGATTAAAACCTTCTAAGACTTCTTATGTGAATAAAGAGATTCTTAAACTCCTTCATCTAGTCTTCAGGCTCCTCTACTACTATATGGCCTCAATTTAACTTTTCTAATTTTACTTCCCACCCTCAAATTTTTTTTCTCTTATCCTTGTCATACTTTCTTCTGAGTCTTTCATAATATTTTTCACATTTCTAGATCTCATCTAGGCTTCAAGAGTTGAATTTCAGATTTGCCTGCTAACTGGAAGGAATCTTTCCTTCCTGGGAACTCTCAAAGGCCTTTTCTGTTTCTTTGCTATTGTGCTTAGGATCCTTTCCATTGTACTATGGCTATTTCTGGGCATGTTACTGGTAGTTGTTAAGTTCTTTAAAGTTATTCATGTTTTATTTTTCTATTTCCTAATTAGTTCTTAATGTATATTAAGTAAATAATATGTAAGGAGCTCTCTTGTTTGGGAGGGCATTTCATATTTGAGGAAAAGGAACAAAAATTTAAGGATATTTCATCAGTATGCCAGACAGAAAAGATTATATATTCCATAAGTAGCTACAGAAATATATTTTCAAGTATTTGCTGAAAAAGAAAGAAAATAAATTAGGTGTATAGATAAGACTTTGGGTCACTAATACAAAGCATTTGCAAACAGATGAAACCTAATTTTAAAAGCCATCTAGAATAGAAGATAGACAGCAGTGTGTTCAATCATTTAAGCAGTTATTTATATAAGATTCGCAAGCAGAAACATTTTGTTTTTCTGTAGTATTTCTATAATATGCAGATTACATTTTATGTACTTTTAATTAATCTTGATATTGTTGGAATTTCTTTTAGGATCCTCCTGATTTTTAAATGGTCTGTTCCTTCTCTTGTACTTCTTTTGTTGATCTTTTTTTTTTCAGTTCTCTGTTCTGGAAAACTTATGTTTAGAACATGTTCTGTTTTGCAGGTATCCTGGTCAGATATAGGAGGACTGGAAAATATCAAATTGAAATTGAAACAGGCTGTGGAATGGCCCTTGAAACATCCGGAGTCTTTCACCCGAATGGGTATTCAGCCACCTAAAGGAGTTCTTCTGTATGGGCCACCTGGTTGCTCTAAAACGATGATTGCAAAGGCTTTGGCCAATGAAAGTGGACTGAATTTTCTAGCAATAAAGGTATGACATTAAGTTTTTAAATTGCTAATTTCTATTCTAGTCCCTTTAGAACCCATCCTCTCATTCCTGCCCTTCAGAGAACATGAGAAGGCAACTTAAGGAGTAGCTGGTTTGAGTTTGATAGCAATGTAGTATAGGGAGATGAGAGATAAGTAAATTAGTTTCATCAGCAAATCAGGTGGACAGTAGAAGACTGCTTTATTTAGTTTCTTGATTCTCAGTATTTCTTACACTCATGTGTAATAGAAACCAGTTTTGTCTTTAGTTTTTACATTTTTAAATTATACTGATCACTTTTGCTCATCTAAGACTTAATTATAAATAAATAATAGGGGCTCGGTGAATGGAATTCGTGTACGGGTGTGGTCCCTAGGCCTGGCTGGTGATTGAAGCACGAGCAATCTGGTATAGAAGGGCATGTCCCAGCTGACCTCCGGGCCCTGGGCAATACCTGGATCCCCGGACCCCAGTGTGCCCCCTGTTTGCCTGAGTCATTGGGCCCCTGCCTGGCTCCCTTAGCACCTGGGAACTGCCCCCCACCGCTGGTCGCTGTCTGCAGGGCGATTGGTGGGGCTGTCGGGCCCCTGCTCACACCTGTCTTGGCCTGGCCCTCCCACTCACCTGCTCCACCATCCCACCATGGCCTGCTGCCAGTGCCCTGTCGCCGACACCTGCCGTGTTTTGTGCCGCCCCCTGGTGGTCATTGCATGTCATGGAGAGCA